CAGGAAAACGGTGTGGAAATGCCAGGAAAACAGCAGGGAGGGGGAGGGAGCTGGGCTCACTTTGGGCCGTTGTGCCACAACCTCGGGAGAGTTTGGGAATTTTGTCCCACCCTGGGATGATTCCCAGGGGTGTCGTCCCTCCCTGGCCGGATTTTGGGGGGTTTCCTGGGCTTTCTCGGCAGGTTTGGCAGCGGGGCAGCTCTACTCGTACCCGGCGCGGCGCTGGCGCAAGAAACGCCGCGCCCACCCCCCGGAGGACCCCCGGCTCTCCTTCCCTTCCATCAAACCCGGTAATTCCCCCATTCCCTGCTGCATTCCTGGGAATTCCGCCCGGATCCGCCAGCATCCCTCACCCACCCTCCCTTTTCCCATTTTTTTCACCATTTTTTCCATGATTTTCCCCCTTTTTTTCCCCCATGTTTTCCCATTTTGCCCCATTTTTCTCTGGTTTTTTCCCCATTTTTCTCTGTTTTTTTCCCCATTTTTCTCTGGTTTTTCCCCATTTTCCCCTGGCTTTTCCCCCATTTTCCCCTGTTTTTTTCCCCATTTTCCCCTGGGTTTTTCCCCATTTTCCACTGGCTTTCCCCCCATTTTTCTCTGTTTTTTTCCCCATTTTTCTCTGTTTTTTTCCCCATTTTTCTCTGGTTTTTTCCCCATTTTTCTCTGGTTTTTTCCCCATTTTCCCTGTTATTTTCCCATTTTCCCTGTTATTCCCCCCATGTTTCTCCGTGTTTTTCCCATGACTTTTCCGTGTTTTTCCCATGACTTTCCCGTGTTTTTCCCATGACTTTCCCGTGTCGCGGACGCGGAGCAGGCGCTGAAGAAGGAGGGGCCGCTCTCCCATTCATCCCCATTTTCCCTGTTATTTCCCCCCATTTTCCCTGTTATTCCCCCCATGTTTCTCCGTGTTTTTCCCATGACTTTTCCGTGTTTTTCCCATGACTTTCCCGTGTTTTTCCCGTGACTTTCCCGTGTCGCAGACGCGGAGCAGGCGCTGAAGAAGGAGGGGCTGCT